GCAGGGGGGGAACATTTCTGGGTTCTAGGTGTGTTCTAGAGCAAGAAAGGAAGGGGAAAATACCAAGCTTCCTTACCAATTCTCCAAGGCATGGCTGGGTTCTCTTTTTTTTTCTCTCGGGCTGCAGCGAAAAGAAGAGCAGAATCGGGTTTGAGGAGGAAGAAAAGAAAGAAAGAAAAGAAAGAAAAGAAAAAGAAAAGAAGTCATCCTTATCCAAAATCTTTCCCTCTTTAAGTCCCTCAACTTTTGAAATATTCACATTAAGCCCCAAAACAATCTTTTCTCACAATCAAGTCCTTAACTTACACTTAAATATTCCCGAAAATTTGGGATATTACATTAAAAATAATAATTCTTTTTTTTTCACGTCAGATTTCTTCTTCCTCTTTCATTTTCTCTCTTCCTTACCTTTCCTTTTCTCTTACCTCTGCAAACCCAGGCTCTGGGTTTTCTCAAACAGCCGAGAAGCAAGTGATGATCGTCACCGTTGACGACAGCGAGCCAAACCTCTGCTACTACTACCGTCGACCTTCTTCTTCTTCTCTCAAACCCAGATCTGGGTTTGAGAGAAGAAGAAGAAGGCTGACGGTAGTAGTAGCAAAAGGACCTAGATATGGGTTTACAGTTTAAATAAATCAAAATAAACCGGCTCAACTCAGTTAAAATTCATTCAAATTAGCACAAAGAGGATCCAAAAGTCAATCAAAAACATGGAATACAAATTAGAGCGAAAACACACCTTATTCTCTACCAGTTATCAGGAGAAACATGCTCACACTGACTTCAAATCCAAAAAGGCAAAAACACGACAAACCCAGACCATCTACAGATACAAGCACTAATACTTCAAGAATCTAGCATTAGATAAGCATATCAACAGCGCATACAAAGAACAGCAAGGGTTTAGATGAGATGGGATTACGGCTGTAATAACTGTACAGACGGCAGAGCAGCGTGGGTAAGATAGCTGTGGACAGAGACTTAATGCGGTAGCCTGAAAATGGTGGCTCATGAATATTGGACTGCAACAACAAAATCCGGGGAGAAAATGGAGGCAACTGGAGGTTTCTGATGACATAAATTCGTTGGGCATAGCAGCGGAAGGAAGACAGAACTCTGGGATGGATATATCTGAGAAACAAAATTCCCTAATTTAGGAAAAAAAAATAATGCACAATTTGTGATAGACACTAACTAAAGCTTCAAATGCAAAAAGCTAGTAAGATTCAATCAATCAATTGACACTATTGTAAAAGTGAGGCACCGAATCTGGAGATGAGAAGCCGGTGGGCCTCCTTCCACCGGATGATGGAGGGGTTGGGTCCTTATACTTCCGCTTGTTGCTACCTACATTTAGACCTGATGACCTATCATCAGGTCATCTTCTCGGGACAGTCTGGGTTTGAGAAAAACCTAGATCTGGGTTTGAGAGAAGAAGAAGAAGGTCGACGGTAGTAGTAGCAGAAGGTTTGGCTCGCTGTCGTCGACGGCCGTCGTTATGGGTGAAAGTTGAGGTCTTGGGCTCGAGAGAGGGGAAATGAGACATGAGGGTGACGAGGTGCTGGCGTATCAGCCATTTAGTGTCCTTGACATAGGGGAGAGCTGAAGGCCCTCGCTGCGAGAGAACCGAGCTGAGGAACTGCTGGATCTATTGAAGGTTGGGAGAAGTCACCGGCGGTGGTACCATTGGTGTTTCGATCAGGTCAAAGATGAAAATCAAGAAGAGATCGACTGGATGGGATTTTCTCAAACCCAGATATGGGTTTCATCACGTAAAGAGGAAGAAGAAATTTGACGTGGGTGAAAAAAAAGAAGAATTATTATTTTTAAATTAAATGAAAATGCCAACTCATAAAAAAAATGCCAACTATGTTTTTTTTTCCATGTCACTAGTTAAGAAAAAAAAAGAATTGATTTGCTGGCATTTTAATGTGCCACCTGTCATTTAACTGACGAAAGGATCATTTTGGTACCGAAAATGAAAGTTTGAGAATAATTTTGGTACTTTTTAACGCTGAGGGACAATTTTGGTACCAAAGTAAAAAGTTGAGGGACCAAAATGGTACTTAAACCTAACAAAAACTTTCAAAAACTTTCGCAAGGTTCTTTTGTAAATTTCTATCCCTTACATTCTTTGGTTCAACAAATTCATATTTGGGTTTGAAACCACTGTGATGCCAAGTATTATTTCGACCACGGACATGCCCTCGGCCATGGTTATTGTGACGATTGCGACGGCCTTGACCACGCCCATAATTATTATATGAGGTTGCATTTGCCTTAGGTAATGGGACTAAACCAATAGGTCGTGATTGATGATTTTTCATCAAAAGTTCATTATTTTGTTCAGCAATAAGAAGACATGATATCAAATCTGAATATTTTTTAAAGTCACGCTCTCGATATTATTGCTGAAGAAGTGGAGAATGTTTTCTCCAACATATCTTCATCAGTAATTTTTTCACCGCATAATTTTAATTGAGATGAAATGCGGAATACTGCGAAGTTATACTCGCTCACAGATTTAAAATCTTGCAATCGTAGATGCATCCATTCATAACAAGCTTTTGGCAGTATCACCAATTTTTGGCGATCATATCTTTCTTTCAAATTTTGCCATAATTCAAATGGATCTTTGATTGTCAAATATTCAGCCTTCAATCCCTCATGGAGATGATGGCGAAGGAATATCAACGCTTTAGCGCGATCTTGTAAGGAGGTTTGATTTCCCTCAACAATTGTTTCACCAAGATTATTTGCAGCCAAATGGATTTCAGCATCAAGTATCCATGGCAAATAATTTGAGCCTGTTATATCAAGGGCGGAAAATTCAAGTTTTGTCAAGTTTGATGCAAATATTCGTTAGGCTAAAATCAAATTGAAATTAGGAAAACAAATAATTACCTTAAGAGCTTGCCACAAATTGAATGGTGAAGACAATCGTGCTGATAACGTAATATAAAATAGAAGGAAAAGTGGCAAGATGACAAATGAGAGGAGAGAGTTTCTTATTTCACCAAATATTCTTCCATATCCCAACATACAAATTTGTAGGCCTATATATAGGCTAAGAGACATAAGGGGTTACATTTGCCATTGAATAGGACTAAATGAGAGAATGAATGGCACCTTAATGGACTTTTGAATGATACCTTAATGGCCCTTTGAATGGCCTTTAGTGGGATCAAGAATGACCCTTTAATGGTGAGGAATGAACCTTTAATTGTGAAGAATTATAATATGAAAAGATGAATATGAAGGTGAAGCATCCACTAATAAAAAAAATTCACAATAAAAGTGTAATTTTGACTTACTTTTATGCTTATGGTCTTGGTCGTCTTCCTGGGAAGGCGGAATATATCTTTTGCACATGGCGGTACTTGATGAAGCCAAATCAAGTCCTGGTTTCCATGCCCCCCACGCCTACCACCAAGCAATATCATTAATTAGGCCGAACTCTGACTCCGAGTAAGTGGCACTAGCGCTTGGGTTAAGGTTATTTTTCTCCTATGATTTATATATTTGAATTTACAAAATTTTTATTTTTGTTCCCTATTAACTTATAAATAATTGTAATATATTCAATAAAATATTATTAATTAGGTCGTAGCTGCCTCATTGCCTCATATCAGCTATACTTAAAAAGGCCGATACATGCAATTCAAGAAAAACGAAAAAAAAAAATCCAACACTAATATACAATATACACAATCTTCTTCGAAACTTGAGCCAAAACAATGTTGGGACGGCATTTTAATCATTATTAAATTTAATAAATAATTTATTAATTATGTGATTTATTTTAATTTAATTTGAAGATAGTTTTTTTTAAATTATTTATAAAAATATCCAACACTAATATACACAATCTTCTTCGAAACTTGAGCCAAAACAACGTTGGAACGTCATTTTGACCATTATTAAATTTAATAAATAATTTATTAATTAATTAGTTTATTTTAATTTAATTTGAAGATAGTTTTTTTTAAATTATTTATAAAGTATCAATTTTATTTCAAAATAATTTACTTGACAAATATTCCATTGACTAACCTAATGAAATTCTTTCTAGTTATTAACGTGTGCCACCTAAATCATCATGGACTTGTCATGTGGCCCAAAACACACGAAAAGGAGTGGGTGTAGACAAACTACTCTTAAATTTTTTAAAAATATTAAATATAGTATATATATTTTTATTTTATATAATATTTTGTTTTGAAAATTTAAATTTTATGTTAAATGTAATAATTAAT